TTCGGTTTTATTTCTAAAAAAAAAAAAAAAGGCAAGAATATATATATTCAACTCGTATGCATCTCAAAGAAAACTTCGGTTTACAATGGATTTGACATTCAATAGGCGTAAACCTTTCGCCATAAATATTCTATAGCGACCTACATTCTAAAATCCGTAAAAGAATTGCTCGATCGCCACTTCCGTTCACAACTATAAATTCCTCTTTTAACGCCATTTTATTTTCAATTATACCTTTTGTACACCCTTTTCGCGCCTTTTTTAAATCTAAGTAGCTATATCGCTTATGTTGAGAAAGAAAAAAAGAAAAAAATTACGAAAGGAACGAAATTTAAAAATTTTGTAAAAATTTTAAAAACATCGATTATCGAGAAATTTCACTTTAAATCGATTTTTAACGTTTATGTTGAAATATTTTTTATCTTTTTAAAAGATTTTTATGTTTTTATAACTTTGAAGGATTTTAATGTTAGAGACTCTGGAACTGGATACAGCTCAGTAGGGGGCGATGCCGAGTCAAATTTAAAAAGCGTGAAAGTCGTTGGAAGAAAAAGATGTGCAGTATCCCAGTTGTGCCCTTCCAACGCTTCGACAAAATGGAATTGCCACCAGATAGATAGGTATATATTGAGAAATAGATTTTTACAAACTATCCCCTCGACCTTATCGCTCGACGATTCTATTTTTTTCGAACGAGTGATGGTAGGCAGTAGTATTTGAAATTTAAATATTTCAATATTTTTTCTTTTTACCTATCTTGTGGCTATTTTTCTTTTCTTTTTTTTTTTTAAATTATGCAAGTATGATGATATATTTTCTGATATAATATTCCAAAAAGAAAGAATAAAATTTTTTTTTTTTTTACATTACATCCCTTTTGCACACAACAATTTCTCAAAGGAATTGGCGATGAAATTTTTAACAAACAGAGATAGAAGAGGGAGAGAGAGTGAAAATTTAAAAAATTATAAAACATTGCATACGTGAACAGCGACCAACAGACCAATTTTTTTGGGGCCAAAAAAAAACATCGACACGTGTTGAAATCACCCT